TAGAATGTTATATAATATATATAATAAAATAGTATTTACTATTAAAGAATAATATAATCTTATATTATGTATAAACAGTATAATATATATTTTATTTTAGCCTAGAATCATAGAACCAAATCGATTTATTTTTTACAGAATCTATGAGGTACACACCAACTTTACATCTTGCTAATTTCATCATGGATATAAACAAAAAAATGGACACCAAATTTTTTATTTTTTATTTTTCTCATATTTCTAGTCAATCATGACATTGGTATGTACTAAAATGAAATTTTGATGATATGTTTACTACCAAAATTGTGTCGCAAATTTTTTTCAATGCTGACAATTAAGTAATCTGATATAAATTCATTCTCCATTTGTTTAAAGTGTTACGGAGTATTTAACAATTAAAATGTATAGTTGGTGATATATAATTGTCTAAAAATAAATAAAAATTGCATAGAGTAACACTATAATTAAAATTAAAGAATTAATAATGAAAATACAAAAGCTCTCACAAATCTAAAATACTTAAAAGTTTTAATCTTCAAGAAGGATTCAAGAAAAGTGAAAAAACAGAGGAAAGTATAATGAATTAGGATTGAAATAAAAACAAAGAAATTGTAAGATTATGCATAAATAAAAAAAATATAACTAAAATGGTTGAGGAGAAGAAATAAAAGTAGTGGTGATAGTTGGAAAAATGACAATGTGTGACTATTAAACATGTGATGTGAAATTGTTAAGAAGATTTGAAGAGGTTTTGGCATTGGGGGAGCCTCATCCTTTAAAATTTCAATTTTTTATTTTGGAGGGGCCAATTGTTAAAATTGTTAAAATTCAATACCTATTATATATAATGTCATAAATTTTATGGTGGAGTAAATATAATTTTCAAATATTTTGGGTTGGTCCCTTAATAGATCCGCCCCTAATTTAGTTCCATTGATTTCACGATAGGGTTCACTTTTATTTTATTTTTTCTTTTTAAACCATTAAAACTAATAATCCCCCATAATATCAATCATTAAAATGTAACTATGTTATGAGATTTCATTGCTAAGTAAACTTTATGTAATAATATGACTAGTGACATCAGTATCAAGTTTTCAAATAGGCTATCTCGTACTGTATAAAGATTATGCATAACATTCTTTTTGCTATAATAACATTTGTTGGGAATAAATGATAATCTTTTTTATAATTTGTGGGTTAAAATAAAATTGAATTTTCTGTTGTTGAATATATAAAAATAATGTAAAAGAGTATTATTTATGAATCCAATTTTCTCTCCTAAAACCCCTCCAAGGCTGACCAGTATCAGGTAATGCAGCCTTTTCACCATCCCCTTTTGCATCTTCTTCAGCAACCAAGCAAGGCTGCATGACAAAAATAATATGCTATTTGGACACATAATGAAGATAAAAAATAAAAAATAATAATGACATCTTTCTTAACTTATTAGTTTTCATATCATATTAAGTACTTTAGAACTTAGTTTTCATGAAACAATTAAAAAAATTATAAACTAAACAAAATTTAAAATATTTTATGTTTTGCATTTAGTCTCAAATAATAAAATCATTAACTTTATACATTTGGAAGCACCTATGATGCATTTAATTTGGAATTAAATAAAAAAAGATTATTCAAAAAGTCATATATCCTCTACCTCTTAAAATAAGATGTTGATAATACAATTGTATATATACAAATACATGTATCATTATTTTTGAAGTTTGAATGGTTAATAACTATCAATACCTTAACTCTCTTCTTTCTTTACAGAACCATCTTTGTCTCTCTCACACAAAATAACTAAAAACTCAATTTTACAATTTTAATTCAACTTAAACTCAATTTCATAATTTTACTATAATTATATATATATATACAAATCCATGTATCATTATCTTTGAAATTTGAACTTTTTTTTTTTTTCTCCTAAATGGAGGAAATTTTTTATAAATATAAACAATAAATATAAGAGACACATAGGACATACCCACATGGAACACAGCCTAAACAAAGCATATCAAGACATAAAACAAAACATCTTTAGGCAAACCTCTAGATGAAAAACTAATGAAGAGCTGAAATAACATCTTGGAGGCACACCCCTAAGATGTCCATTACTTCCCACAAAATACTCTTAACCACTTCAACTAGAGAAACAAAAGTTCCTTTATACATTTTGTCATTCCTTTCTTTCCAAAGATAATGCAATGTGGCAGTGAACAACATCCTATAAAGCTTTGTTCTCTGAGATTTAATCTTAAATTGCACTGTAAAATCCAAAGCCATATCTAGGATTGAAGTATATGACTTTAACCTCCAATGACAAAGGTCTGCCAAAGATCCCCAAACCTTCCAAGCAAACTCACAACAGCAGAAGATATGGTCCCTATCCTCCACACCCTTGCAACAGAATATACATTTCGAAGCTAAGGAATAACCTTTTCCCTGCAATTAAGTATTTGTGAGTACTGAATTCTGCAATACCAGAACAGCAAAGGTAGACCATCTGTGTCTACCACCATTCCAACAGAGATCACACCAATTCACCTCCTATCTTCTCATTCGACAAACATTCTATGCTGATTTAAAGGTAAACTGTGAACCTTGCCAAGAGATTTTATCCTCCCCACCATGAATAATCTGCTGAAGTATGTTCTGCTGCATAATTAGTGGAAACTTATTCATATCCCACTGACCTTCAAAAATAAATTCACCGATGCATCTGTTCTTATCTCTACTCAGTTGATGTAACACCCTATGACAATATAAATCTAATAAAAATTTTCCATCACACCAAGGATCAAGAAAATTTTTTATTCCATTGCCATCGCCAATAACATATCTGGAATGAAGTTTCAGAATATCCCTCATTGCCACAATACTCCTCCACAATGATAAAGAAGAATCCTTTGGAATCACCTTCCAAAATGAAGAATTTTGTAAATAATAATTCTTGTACCAGGCTACCCAAATCCTATCTTTTGATAATAGGAAATCCCATGCTAAAACATATTTAGAAGCAAGGTCAATATCATGTATTCTCCTCAATCCCATCCCTCCTTCTTCTTTAGGAGCAACTAGCTTTTTCTAGTTTAAACCATGCATTTTCCTAGTGGAATCATTATGCCCCCATATGAAATTCCTCATTCTCTTTTCAATAAGATTAATGACAGCAGCTGGGAGAGTTTAAACTGATGTCCAATACAGAATTAAAGGAGTAACCACTGCTCTGCATAGTTCCACTCTACCAGCCATTGAAATATGCAACCCATTCCATCTAGTTGTTGAAGCATTAACTTTATTCAGAAGCTTAGAAAACTCTCCCCTCCTAAGCATTCTATCTGAAATATGTAAGCCAAGATAGGTAAAAGGTAGCTGACCCTCCTTACACCCCAAGCTCCTCAAAATAAATAACTTCCTCTTGACAGTTCTAGTAAAGAACAATTCAGACTTCTCTTTATTTACAGCCAAACCAGACACTTTTTCAAAGTGTGTCATGATTCTCTTAAGTGTAATAACAGAAGCCATATTAGCCCTAACCACAAGAAATTTGAACTGTTAATAACTTCCAATACCTTAACTCTCATTCTTTTTTTTACAAAACCATCTTGATCTCTCTCACACAAAATAACTAGAACTCAATTTTACAATTTTAAGTCAAATCATAATTTTACTTTAATTATATATATATAAAGAATCCATCTAGAGTAAGATTTTCGTCAATCCATATAAAGTGAAAAGAAGAAGAAGAATGAATTCATTTGGACAAGGTTAATTGTATGTTGAAGACTGTTAAATACAGTCGCATTTGTAACTGTGGATATGTAGTTGCAGTTTCTATTGGATAGTTTTAAATGAATTTGACTTCGTTTCAAGTTATGTGTTTACCGCTAATGTATTGGCTTTCCACCTTTTCAGTGACTTTTTATTAACAGTTGTTTTTTTCACTATCTTTCTCTCATTACCTTAGAGATTAGAATGGTTTTAGACTCTGCTTGAAGAGTCCTCAAAGTCGCCCATATTATTGATCCACCAAAAAAACAAAAAAAAAAATGGTGTAATACTAACATAAAGTATACACAAAATTCGTGGTATTAACAAAAGATAAAATGGATAAAAAAAAGTAAAAATACTAACAATGCAATACATGTTCAAAAACCCTTTAAAAGAATAAAAATAAAAACATAGTCTAAAAGAGTTCCCAATGATAGAAAGATAATGGAAAAAACATAACTTGAAATATCTGTAAAAAGAGAGAAAGTCAAATCCATTTAAAACTATCCAATAGGATATGTGACTACCAATCAATTGTGTGCATGTATGTTTATGTACCCGAATCAAAAGAGTAGAAATGAATTTCAAATAAATAAATAAATAAATTTAGAATGTTCCATATAAGTACGAAACACAATATTTAATAAAGTAAATCATAGGCAATCAAAAATTAAATATTCAATAATTAATGTTCATCATCGAAGTTCCTCTGGTTGCTTTTGTCAAGGTAAACCAATCTTTGCATAAGGTATGCATGGATATAATTAAAAAAAATATAAAAATAAACATGGGCTGCCTTTACAACTTCCACAGGGCACGAAATTAAACTCACGTGCGGCACATGACTAATGGTCCTCAATTCTCACATAGGTGTGCCAATACCGACCTTGAAAAGCATGTGATTCATACACAATTTCATCACCGTTGAATGATTGAATCACATCCACCAATCAAAATTAAGCTCATGCATAACCCACCAATTAACTTTCCTGGAAAGGTCAAACAACTAAGTTGAGGAATTTTCCCACGAACCAAACAAATCGCCGCCCAATTAAAAAAATTAAAAATCACTTTACCTTTAACTAACTCACGCGGTACAAAAATAAATAGTAAAACCCTCGCGAGGCGAAAGCCTCTGATATGCGATTTCAAAAGTCTATATATAAATACGAATGTGTGTTGTCACAAACTTACACAACAGAGGAGAGAGAGACAGACAGTATCCACGGGACTGCAAGAGAGAGACTAAATCGTGAGGTCCTTGTTCGCAGAGGAGTGAACACCTTGTGTTCTCTTATTTTTCTCCTTAATTATTTCACTATTTTATTTATATTTCAATTATTTTTTCTAAGATATTTTGGTTATCTCTCTTAATTTACTTCTATTTTTCTTTCTGATTTTGCTCTGTTTAATATCTCTAGTTTTAAAGGGAGAACCAGAACACAAAACCCTTATTATACATCGTTCTGGTCTCCAATGGCGAGTTGGGTCTTATCAGAATGTGGTATTAGACCCCTCCCTCAAAATTTTCCACGACCCAGAACTGGACTCATCTCTAACACCACCACTAACCCACCAAAGACCAGATTTTTCCATTCAAACAAGAAAGTAACAGATCTAAAGTTCCCTTCAGTCTGTCTTCCAAGTGGGTGTTCTAGAGAGAGAAGATGGGTGCTAAAAGTGAGTGCTCCATTGAAGGTTGCATCTGTAGATGGGGATGAGAGAGGAGAGAGAATCAATGGTGTCAATGGGGTTGAAGATGAAGCCGAATTCGACCCCGGAATGCCACCGCCGTTCAAATTGGCCGATATTCGGGCCTCTATTCCGAAGCATTGTTGGGTGAAGGACCCATGGAAGTCTATGAGCTACGTTGTGAGGGATGTTGTGGTTGTCTTTGGTTTAGCAGCGGCTGCAGCTTATCTCAACAATTGGCTTGTTTGGCCTCTTTATTGGGCTGCCCAAGGCACCATGTTCTGGGCTCTCTTTGTTCTTGGTCATGACTGGTAATCACAATCTTCTATGCTAGATCTAATATTGCTTATAGTTACTATATATAGACACATAGAACATGTATGTATAAATGTCTGTGTGTATAATTTTTTTGGTGCTTAATTAGGTAATGTTTGATTTTGATTGCAGTGGGCATGGAAGCTTCTCAAACAATCCCAAGCTAAACAGTGTGGTTGGGCATCTTCTACATTCTTCAATTCTTGTGCCCTACCATGGATGGTATGCTACTAATTCAATTTTTCTCATGTGTTTGTGCATTCATGTTCTCAAGCTTCAGAAGTTTTTTTTGTTCAGTTACACTGAACTTTGATTAATGTTACAGGAGAATTAGCCATAGGACTCATCATCAAAATCATGGTCATGTTGAGAATGATGAATCGTGGCATCCGGTTAGTTGTTTTCGGTCATTTTGTTAGTTCTTCGTTTTTCATTATTTATTCATGCTCGTACTTTATTTATTTATTTTTTTTATTTTTTATTTTTGTAGTTGTCTGAAAGAATTTACCAAAAATTAGATGGCATTACGAGAAATTTGCGGTTTGCGGTGCCTTTCCCAATGCTTGCTTACCCCTTCTACCTGGTAAAGTTGTTGGCTGTTTTTGATAAAATTTATTCATGGAGTTATGAGACTAGTTGCTGATAGTTCTTGTGTTACAGTGGGGTAGAAGTCCTGGAAAAACTGGTTCTCACTTTGACCCAAACAGCAATTTGTTCGTCCCTACTGAGAGGAAAGATGTGATCACTTCCACTGTATGTTGGACAGCAATGGCTGCTTTGCTTGTGGGACTATGTTTTGTAATTGGTCCTGTTCAAGTGCTTAAACTCTATGGTGTTCCATATTGGGTAAGTTCCATTTCATTCTTACTTATTGATACATTTCCATATACCAATAAAGTAGAATTTAGTTTGGTTTGTTTTTCCAAATTGAAAAATGTTCTCATTTGACTTCATTTCTATATTAGGGTTTTGTAATGTGGCTGGATTTCGTTACTTACCTGCATCACCATGGCCATGAAGACAAACTTCCTTGGTATCGCGGAAAGGTATTAATATGTTGCATCATGCACATTTTTTCCTACTGTTCAATCATCCTTTTCTATTTGATGAGAAGTTATCAAATAGGAAGAGGTACGGCAGAGACATCTACTGAAATGTGGTGGTGGAAGTTTTGTATTGATCTGCAGTTTTATCTTTTATATTTTAACGGAAGTAGAGGAATCCATGAAGATATTTGTTGTTATGATTGAAGCTTGTGAGTTGTGGCATGCCAATTTTACTAAGACAACTCAAGTATTCTTGTTTAGGAATGGAGTTATCTAAGGGGAGGATTGACTACTATTGATCGCGACTATGGATGGATTAATAACATTCACCACGACATTGGAACTCATGTGATACACCATCTCTTTCCTCAAATCCCTCATTATCACTTAATTGAAGCAGTGAGTATCATTTCCCTTTAATTTGATCAGATGCAATTTTTAGACATTCTGCCATGACTCATAAAATATGCAGTTTAATGAATTCTTCTCTTTTTAAAACTTGACCATGTAGACAGAGGCAGCAAGGCCAGTGCTCGGAAACTACTACCGGGAACCCAAGAAATCAGCTCCTCTACCATTCCACCTGATTGGAGAACTGATAAGAAGCTTGAAAAAAGACCACTATGTCAGTGACACAGGGGATGTTGTGTACTACCAAACTGACCCGAAACTCAGTGGCTCTTCTAAATCAGAATGAAGCAGTCAATCTGTACAAGGGAAGGTCTTCAAGCTACTTGAATTGGATAGGCTTGCACAATGACTACAACAGCGGTCGCAGCATCCTCTTTGGCTACTTCAAATTTCTGATAGTGAAGGAGAAAGAGATGGCCGACAAAATGATAATGCTGCTTATTTTAAAACGCCGGTAGAAGACATATGAAGCAGGTATTTTCAACATTAGTGCTTTAGTAGTGAAGGAAAGATGTATATTTATGTTTCATGAGGAGGTGATTCATCTCTTCATGATATGTATCATGTACTATTGAGATTAATATTTACAATAGAAAGAAATTGAGGGAAATCAATTGAATAGGTGCTTCTCTTTTCAGTTTGAGTTGTGTGGACAATGTGAAAGATAAAGGGAATCTATCAAAGATATTGGAGATACGTAGATTTGTTGGTTTTTTTTTTTGGCATTTTTTCTTTATTAATGGAAAGCTAAAAGGCCAATAGACTTTCAAAGCAATAATTTTTCTTTGGGTTGCATCCAAGATCTTATGTTTTGAATGGTGGTCCTTTGGCCAACTCGGTTGTCCTTTTGGGGACCAAAATAATATTGGTGACAGTATCATAACTAATCCTTTTCATAGAATTTTCAAATTTCACGTTGTTGATAATGGGTTACCAGCATCAACCATCAAATCGTAACTGTCTGGCATCCGAAATACTATTGGTGCTAGTATCCTTCATAACTAATCTTTTTCATTGAATTTTCATAACCTCAAATACCATGTTATTTTTTATTTTATTATTATTATTATTTTTTTGTCATGCCATTTTACTATGAATTGTGTCCCCACTGTGGGTTATTCAATTGTGATTAATGGGACACTATCTTAGTTGATGCATCCCTCAAAAGAACCAAGGCAGGGAGATCCGTTATCCCCGAATCTATTTCTGCTCAATGTTGGGGGTCTTCGAAGGAATACTAGAGAGCATCTGAGAAACGTATAAACTCTGTTTTCAAAGAACTAAAATCAGAAAACTATATAAAAACTGGTTTGGTTGTAATTTTCTGTAAACTCAATTAATATATATATATATATATATGTTTTATTCCGGAGAACTTCTGTTTTCATAGTTGTTCGAAATTGGTAAAACTAAAGCAACTATATGTCTTATTATATCTGTTAGCTAGCTGGGTTGGACACTTCATATGTAGCAAAAGGGCCTCCTGTTTAAGCTGTACAAAGGAAGATGTTTATGGAGGCTAAGGCCATCTGCAGTGGCCTGTCCAAACGGTCCTTTTCGCGAGGATGAGCCCAAACTAGCCCGCAGCGGGCTAGTAAAAATTGGACGGGCTCACATGGACTCACAATCTAGCTCACGGAATACCATGGGCCCAAGCCCGATCGGGGTATTTTATTTTTTATTTTTGTCTCTTCCTTTGCCAGAAGGATGTTGTTTTGGGCAAAGTTATTTTTGTTTTCAAATTTCAGAGGCACTTATTTGGCAGCTGGGTTTTTGGAAAAAAAAACACCCATAAATAGGTTATTTTGAGCTAAATTTTTTTTTTTAAAAAATAAAAAATATATTGTTTAGGCACTGTTTGTCCAAAAAAAAAAAAAATTGATTCCGGCCAAAAATAAATTAAAAAACCATTTTTTTCCCTTAAAAATTGATTTTTAAAAATTTTTTTTGCTTTAAATTTTAAATTTCTAACACAAATAGTGCATTTGGCCTTTAAGGCATTGTTTAACAGTTATAATTAAAAAAAAAAAGGTTTAAAAATTCAATTTTTTAAAACTTTTTTCAATTTTTTATTTTATTTTATTTTTAAATTTGAAATTAAAAAATCATTTATCTTCTATAAATACCCTAACTCCTACTATCATTCATCACATCTAACCCATCTCTATTATCTACCATTTAAATTATTTCTTCTTCTATTTTCTCAATCTTAACTATTATTTTCAAACTCATTTCGATTCCATAGATTCTTAACATCCATTTTATTATAACACTCAATTCAATTCATCAAACGATGAGTTTTTGCCATTTACCGAAAACAATATCCATTTTCTTCACAGTCAAAACTACGTTCTAATTATTATGGGGCAGAATCTCGATTTTCTTCTCATCAACCATCCCAACCTTTTCATCAATATTGTGGTACTAGTGTTCCACAATCAAGTAACTTACAACCTTTGGCAAAACAACCAATTATCCGAAATACAAATTGGACCAAGGCTGAAAATGTTTATGTTGGGCGTGGATGTCTATTACCTCTGATGCGATTACGAGAACAGACCAAAGTAAGAAGAAGTTATGGAGCGAATCTTAGAACGTTATGTACAACATACTGGTGTTTTTTCAATTGACCGAAATTCAGGAGCTTTGATGAATCATTAGTCCACCATCCAACAAAAATTCAACAAAATTTCCCAATGCATGACTAACATCGAAATGAATCGTCCCAGCTGCTTTAGCACTGATGATATGGTGGGTTATTTATTGTTTAAATATAACTCGTAAATATTTTAAATAATCGGCTTTTAATTTTTTGTTAATTTTTTTGTGTAGATGATAGCAGCTAAAGATAGTTTCGTAAATAAACAGGTGGTGAATTTAAGTTAGAAAGTTGCTAGCAGATCTTGAAGTCTAACAATAAATGGCATTTACATTGTGTCAAACAAGTAGAAAAAGAAAAAACAGCCGAAGAAGATGAGTGAGTTTGACTTTGACATTAATGAGTCAGTTGGGCACTCATTATCATCTACTCCATCAAGTCATGCAGCTACGACAAATGGAGCTTCAACTGAAGAACTACCATACATGGGGGAAAATGATTCACCCGGTGTGGAAGAAAATGGCGAAGCAGTGTGCGCTGAGCAAAAATTAATTCAACATTTGAATTGCAAAATTCATTTGTTACCAATTTTAATGATCTCAAATGCCGTTACAAGAGTCGTTAGGATAAAATGAAGGATGCCCAAGTGGCACGAGAGGTAAGAAAAGCGGAGAAATAGAAAACGTGACAGCTAGAGATTCAAGAGAAACAAAGAGCTGAAGAGAAGGAGATCATGTTAACAGATCCAAATTCGGCACTAACAGAAGCAGGGAAAGCTTGGATTATTACACGACAAAATGAGATCTTGGAATCTTTCCATTCACGGTCCACCTCAAAGTTTCCATAGGATTTTGTAATCCTTAGTCTTTTTTTATTTTTTATTCCAATTTAGAATATTGTATTGTTTAAGTTATTTTTAATTGTTATGTTTAATTTTTATTTTTATTTTAATCCATAATGGATAATGTATGGTTTAAAGTTATAATATCAGTCCTAGTTTTTTTTTAATAATTTGCAAAAATATTATTTGATTGAAAAATATTGCTGTTAAGAAACAATTTCATCATTTTAAATATTAAAAAACCATTACATAATAAAATTATAGTATACGAAATATAGCCGTTAGGAATATAGCGGTTAGAAATATAATTGGTAGGACAAAAAGGTTTTTTTTTTTTTTTTTTTTTTTTTTTTTGTGGAGAGCGAAAATCTGGAGTGCTTGTTTCTGAAGAGTGAAAGCTGCTGACGTGACTCTTGAAAGAGCTGAAGTAACATTTTTAGAGAGCTAAAATCCAAAGAGACTGTGCAGATGCTCTAAGAAAGGCTGTAACTCATCTTGAGCGTGGAAAAGGTTTTTGATTGCTACCGAAATTCTACACACTGATATTCATTTAGTAGCATTACAAGGTATTGAAAATCTCTTAATATAAGATGAGGACGTTTTAGAATCTAAGTTTTTTTTATTTTTTTTTTTAATAATTATTACTAATTTTTTTTTTATGTTAAATTATGAGAGGGATAATCGAACATGGGTACACCCATTTTGAAAGTTAGACGCTTTACCAAGTAAAATACGCGTGTCTAGGAAGATTCTTCAAGGCAATGATCAACAGTGGTATTGAAAATGACTATGGAAATTGCAAGTTGCAGTAAAAGGGAAAAACTTAAAAACATTTTAAATGGAGATCTAACCACAATAAATTAGGTGTGATGGGAAATGTAGCTTCAGAAAGACTTTTAATACATCCAATCTGCAGAAACGTGGCTACTTGTTCTTCTTGGAGTGTGGATGTCCCTTTCCAGTGGAGGAGAGATGTTCGAGGTACAATGATGCCTATAAAGAAGCAATGTATGTGGAAAGTGATGTTCTGTTTTTTTTGTTGAAGTAATAGTAAATATATAGAACATAACCAAAAGGCCCTTGCGAAAATTATTACATCAAACACGCAAATAAGAACATAGAGATTTTATGCGGCTACATTAACGAATTGCAGTAATTTCATTACATGAGAAAACAACATTAAATGCACAGAGTTAATAATTACCTTCTAGAAGAACACACAAATTTTATGTAGTTCTCCCAAAAAATTACTACTACATTCACGAATTAAGACGACATAATAAGCGTAAAATATATTAACTTATTACATAAAATTTAAACTTATTACAAAGTTAAACTAAGTTGTACAATATTTATGGAGCTCCACGCTTTTCATCAAAGAAGTCACTGTGAATTTTGCCCCTGTAATTGCAAACAAGATGGGCCATCTGCTAGTGAAGTGAAGTAAGTAGTGGGGAAGGGTGTTAGTTATTTGGATTTGGAATAAAAATGAATGTAGTCTTCAATTGCATAGAATTGATGTTTTCAAATAGAAATTAAAGAAAAATATATTTAAATTTTGAATTAAAATTTCTTCAATTTCAATTTCATGTCAACCAAAGATGGTGCAGATGGAATTTGTCTGTACAAAAACCAACAAATCAGTTTTAATTTGAGCCTCAGTCTGAAAATGAGAATAATGTTTTGTATAAAATAACCTCTAAGATTAGATCTTTAGTCTCGAACTCTTGATATCCCCCCGAGGGCTGGACAAAAACATAAATCAAGGATTATGAGTCCTAATTTGGGTGTTGTAACAAGGGGTTATTTGTCCCACATTTGATTCGGATGGAAAAGTAAATGAGTATAAATAAGTGGATATGTAGTACTATTCAATAACTTAAGTTTTTAGATAAATGGGTAAGCGCCCACCTATTACAGTTATCTTGTTCAATTCAATCTTTTAGTTTAATTATTATTTTTTTCAAATTAAATAACAAATTTTATAACATATCGAATCCGAATGAAAAAATGAATGACTATAAATAGGTGAATATATAATACTATTTAATGACTTAAGTTTTAAATAAATCCACAAGTGTCGACCTCGTTACCGTCACCTTATTCTACCCTACCTTTTTCTTAGACTAAATAACTACTTTTATAAGTCATGAAATGGGTAGAGTTGTGA